CCCCAAAACCCCAAAACCCCAAAACCCCAAAACCCCATTTGACTAAATCCAAGTTGGGAAGGGAAGCAAACCTGCCAAAAATATTAACCAAATTTTATTATTCTTGTGTCCTCCATAAAGGCAGAACTAATTGTGACCAATAAAAATGCTAAGAAAATAGGTCAAACCTAGATGGAGTTTCATTCGGAACCCCTATGTTCTATCTTGGTCTTTAAAAATCGATGGTAATTTACTAATAAGAGGGGTTAAGACCACTGAAAATTTTGTAAATTAACTCAGATTTCACATCTTTAGTGAAGAAAAAGTCCTGTCATAGGTATAAAAATAAATCATATTTCGGTTTATTGATCGGGGATGTGATCTTGGTGAATTAGATTTAGGTTTCAAGACATTTAAAAAGATTTACGAATTCTTCACTTTTGATAAATTTAAAAATTAATGATATAAATTAATAATTAAATTATAAATGGAATCAGACGGTGAGACTAACATTTCGGAAATAAATCCTATCCTTGACCTTTCAGATACGGAATTTGAACGAGATGGGTACAAAGAAATGAACGAAATAGAACAAACTCTGAAGATAGCAAGAAGTAGCTTCGCCTCAGAAAATTTTATCCCGGATATAAAAGGTAAGCAGCATGTCGGATGTATTCACCATTATTTTTCTTTATGGTCATAATCTTTTGTTTGTCCTTTAGAAATCTCAACTGCTTTGCAATTTTTGGGAAATCTGAAAATTCGTCTCCATTGATCAAAAATGATACTTTATATGATTTATTACCTATTAAAGAAAGTTAGAAGAAGGGTTTATTGCAACAAAAAAATGAAGAATAATAACAAGCTTTCTAGATCCTTAAAATTGTAATATTCAGCAAATTTCTTAAAAATATGAAAGCTCTGTTTAAAATTATCCATTACCAAACATAGTCCAAATCTAGCATGATTTAACACAAATTTTTCAACCACTCTCTTTATACATTTTCTCGTCTTAAAAACTATCCAAAAGTCTAAAGTAAGAAGACCCTAATTACAGCCCTCAACACCTACTTTGCTTTCCTAAATCCAGTCCGATGGCCTTATCATTGTCTTCAAGCTACCTCTTCTCTCTGCCAAGGCAGACTCTATACAAATTTTGTACCCAAATAAAATATATTTCCTTGCTTCTAATGTTGATAAAATAAAAATTTATACATTCTGTGACCTCTTCACCAAGATGGCGCTAATAAAGAAACAGTAGCTTAAAAGGACCTGATAGAGGTACATACAACTAGGAGTTTCATACAGACTGGGGGATATAAAATCTCCCTTTGCTACAACAATAAAACTTACTCCAAAGATCTCTGAGCATGCGATTTTACAGACTTATCATTTCACGTTTTAATACTACTAAATAGATCATAATTCTGGGAATCCGTCCAAGAGCCCTTTTAACTCTAGCAAAACTAAGAATGAACTCTTTTCAATGAAGAGAAAACTAGACAAGATACAGAACGATATTGCAAGAAATTCTGACAAAAGATCTTCTAGGAACAAAGGGGACAAACAGCTACTCACAAGATTGCAAATCCTGAAAGACGATTTTGAAGACATAATTTCTTTATATGATCCAAGTAATGAGTGATTATAAGTTATAGACCAATATTCTGACAAAGAGGAAACTTCTGCAGTGTCTGAGCCAAAGAGACAAGAAAATATTGCCTTCAACTACAATATCAAGGTGGAGAACAACACAAAAATCTATACAATTGGAAATTATGATTCAGATAATGAAAACAACGAAGGAACTCCAAAATTGCATATAAACATTGACGATATCGAATCAGATAATCAAAATTCTGGCAGGGATAGGTACAATAAACCAACCTCTATTTCAGCCAAGAAAAGTACTCAAAAGAAACTATTGATCAACACATTTCAAGAGACTAAGAATAGAAGGCTCAAGAAGCACAGAGTAAATAGCCGGAACACTTTGAACAAGAAGCAAATCTTCACAGAAAAAGCCTCAAAGAATCCTTCTGCTAAAATGTGACAGCATTACAGGTAAGATTGGTTGAATTTAGTAGCTATTAGGCAGCTGAATTTATTTCCTTACCTTTCAAATAGAGTGGTAGATCTCAGCAATTCTGAAGAAAAGAAGAAGGCCTCTAGAAAAAGAAAAGTCAATTCAAGATCCTTGAGTAAGAATAGCTATTTCACAAACCTTCAACAAAAGTACCAAGGAAAGAATAAATCTACTCTTAAAAATACTGCAAGGGTAAGGAAGATCCCTATGAAATCTGAGAAGGATCTTCATCATCAAGGGCTTGATTTTGCGACAAAAAGGTTCAATTACAAGAAGTCTAAAATTCTCGAAAACAATAAGAGAGCACCCCAAAGTCCAAAGAATACTGCAAAGATAAATAGAAGGAAGAGAAGTCCTAGACTTGTAGATATTAGAGCAAAAAGGACTGATAGCGGTTCTAAAATTCCACGTTTAAATTTATTTAACAAGAGAAATACTACCAAAGCATTCAGCTCTAGTGCTAAGAAAGCTATTTCTTCAATTAACAAGACCTTCAACAGGAAGAAGTCACCGATAAGGAATTTAAAATATTTGACAGACACTAACACAAATTCCATTCTGAGATCTGAGACTAAATCGCACTCAAAGGCTGCTAGGAATGCCTTTAAGCAAAACACAAAGGGTTTGAAAACTCAGAGACCTGTAAAGAAGATCAATGTAGACTTAGAACTAATGCCCCAGCTTCTAACATACGAAGGAGAGGATAAAGAGGAATTAGATATGGATCAAGTGCTCAATATTTCTCAAAGTTCAACTACTGAATTCAATGTTCTTAGTTCAAGTTCCGAGGGTCCAAATAATATAGTAGAAGAGAAACCAGCAGTTGATCCTTTACACAACTTACAGAAGAAAATGGTAAAGAGAATTAATTTCTTGTTCGACTAGATATTTTCTCTGTCCATTTTCCTACCCAATGAGACCAATAATAAATCAATTCCAAATGTGATATTAGGGGTTTTGGGGTTTTGGGGTTTTGGGGTTTTGGGG